GTTATGTATTAATATTTATATATAAATAACATTTATATATATATATATCAATCACTCTAAAACATAATACATATAAAGATATAAAACACTTTTCTATCGGTTAATGAATCAAAGAATTTGTTCAGGTTATATCGAAAAGTCTTTCGATAATTACGCCCAATGTTACGCAATGTTGCCCTCTCAAGCAGAAATATTGAAACAGAATTAATTGGATGGCGGCAGACCAATTAAAATTCTACATATATGCGCACAATATATGTACGTCTGCCGCGTCAAATCTTTGAACGATAGCATATAAATAAAGAGCATTTAACGGGGATATCAAAATGCCACTTTTGAATTATAAAATAATTGTTATGTAAAGCGTCATAAAATACGCCGACAACTTTTTGTAAATGCACTTTTTATACATGCACTTTGCTCCTACATGTACCACGAATTTTTAAATTTAGGGCCATCGTTGCGCCAATGGTCGCGCTGTCAATCTTTATTTTTTTACGCATTTCGCAATAAAATATTCAAGGCTTTAAATATTCCAAACATTCAAACATTCAAATAGTCAAATATTTCATTGAAATATTTCCATCGATTCTGAAACCCCATTAAATGCCTAAACAAAGTTGAATTTAGCTTTGAATTGCTTTGCGGTTTCTAGCGTTCTTGAATTTTTATTATACAGATAAATTCCTTTATGAGAAAAAATACTACTCTCATACATAAGTATATGTAATTCGGTCACTTAAAACATATCAACTATAACATATCAACTATATAAAACAAAAGAGAAAATTTCCATTAATCAATTAATTTAATCAAGTCTTATCAAACCAGTGATTCTTCTTATCCATTTTATAGATTGTCAAACTATTATCGATTTGTCATCCGGTTGATTTGTGGACGAGTATGTACGCGCAATGCGATTTCGGCAAACATCAGAGCGTGCGAATGATTAACTAAGCTCGGCATAGCATGCGCGCGCGCGCGAGCGGGGGTGTCATGCAAATAGGTATTATGTATTCCTAGTTCATTGGGGACCGATCATTAATATTTGCATCCTCCGTATCCTACCCCGCCTGCATGTGCGCATTTCGCAAGCACGTATGTTAGAGCGGATGACGTGTGTGCGTAGATGGTGGAGTGGTGCGGTCGTACGCGCACATACGCGTGCTCGGCAAACACGTTCGAGAGGTCCGATGTAGATAACGACCGAGTTCGAAAATCCAACTCAACTTTCGTCCCTACGAAAGCTGCGGCACCGTCATACGTGTTCATTCGCGAATATTTTCGGGTGAGCGTCCGTTTTACCAACCCTCGTTTTGAGAGGGGTCACGAACGCTCGTTCGGTCCTGCCTCCGCATCTGTTTGCATCCGCACGACGACACACGTTGCGGACACGATATCGCTATTTTCCGTCTTCTATCGTCCGTACCATCGCGCTCGTGGAAAGCCTTAGCCGGATTCGATTAGACGAACGTAGAAACAGCGTCGTTTGCCGGGCACATATGTATCAATCTCGATACATCGACAAAAAAACACTTATCTTAGCGACAATAACAAAAATCGAAGTTTCATCTCTTTTGGGACGTGATAACAAATTTCGAAGAATCGGAATTTTATCGCGTCGAGAGAGATTCCGAGTTTGCCGCCGAGAAGTTTCAAGTCCAATCGCGACTCTTTCAGAAAATAACCGCGAACGGGATGGAGAAACATTGTTAGAACAGACGCGCTCGTTTGTTTTGGTTCGGTTGTTAGTTTTTGCAATTGTTATTTTTCGAATAATTTGGCCCGCCGGTTGTACGGGCGCGCCAGTGTCTATCGGCGCCGTTTAAACTGTTGGTTTTTCCGGCCGCAAGTTACAGATCGTCGGATGTTCACTGGACCGCATGACTCTCCATTCGACTGTATCGACGATATTGGCTTTATCTTTCTTCTCTTCCACTCCAAGTCAATAATTGTCAGCGGAGCACGGATAGATATCTTCAGTTGTACGATGAGCCCGCTTTATTTTAGCGCGTTTTTTTCTCTTCGTACTCTTCCAGCGAACAAGAGCATTTTTTTTTTTATCGCGACACATAGTCGTGTTTCACATTCGCGGCAAACATTACACACGGCTGGTATAATGGATTTTGATTGTAAATTGAAAATTCAACGATGCGGAAGATTATCGCTGCTTCAATCACTCATAGACACGAGCTGTACGCGACATTGCTCGCCGTCGAAAAATAGCAATCAGTTGTATTTTTATTTTTATTCGACACGTATACGATACGGCGTATGTTATTGGCACCTCGATAAACGCGAGACAGACTTTTCTAAATCAACGTTACACACGGTAATGGAATGGCGTGTAATTTGCGGCGTTCACAGCAGTGGGAGTTTTGCGTGCGACTGCAAATGTTTGGACTAATCCGCATGTTATACAAAGTATTGTAAATCCGATTAATATATATGTATGTACGCGCGACGTAATGTTGCTGCTCAGCGTCACACATAACGAGAATGTCAGTTGCATTGGCAACGACCTCATTTCCAGATCTAATTCGGTATTTGCGACCACATGCATCACTCGCAAATCGGTTCACATGCCTTTCAACATGATCGAAAGCAAACGACAAATACTGGTGTCATTAAATCACTGCTGAGAGCTCGGATATAGATAGATATCCAGTGCGTATTATAAAATGCGCTTGGAAATATTTATGATCAATAAAATAACGAACGCGCGAGATATATAAAGAATATGAGACTAAAAATAAGATGGCTAACGAAAAAAACTAGAAATTGTTGGAAAATTATTGTAAAAAATGTTTCTTATATCAATTTGTTGATACTTCAGTTATACTATACCGGTGCGCTTATCTAGATTCATCAATACTAGATCAATTCAGCTGCGTTCTTGCGTTTCTCTCTGTAGTGTTTATCTCGCGTCGGCCATTAAAGCAATAAATTGGTAATGGACACATGCGGCCCAACCCACGACGAAATTCTCGAACCCGTTCATCGATCACGGAAAGACTGTATCGCCTCGTCATCGAGCAATTAACGTGCTCGCGCTTTTATTCGCGTTTATAACAAAAGCGGCGGGGTGCACATTTTTCAGACGCCAGCCGTTGAAATCGTTAGCTGATCATTATCCAGCGTCGGTATCGATTTCATTAATACTTGAACCCAGAAAAAGTGAGAGAGATAGAGAGAGAAAGAGAGAGTATCCGTATAGCCGGAGCGCGCGCTTCGAAACAACCGGCTGTCTCATTAAACCCGCCGCCCCTTTTAATCTTTCCACTTTCATCCTATTTCCGCTCCCGGCTCTCGGGTGGCGGAAGGGCGGTGGATGCTATTGGCAAGGACGACGCGTCTACCCGAGTTACATACAGTAGTCCGCGACGGCTTTAATCTCATCCGGCGCGAGCTCATTGCGGGGATCGTGAAACACACGCTGCGCGACTGCGTGGACTCGGCTTTTTACGTCAGCCTTTTTACCGAGATACTTGAATGACACGTTATGACCGTTGCGCGCTTTTCACAGATTCACGAATGTATTGCCACTGGCTGCCTTTGAAAAAGAAACCCGCAATACGTGATACATCGTGTGCACAGCGCATACATTTTGAATTACGTGTAATGGCGTTAAGTTAACTTCAACTCGTCCGCATTTTGCTTATTCAAAGAGTGCTTTGATGAGTACTCGATATTAATGTAATATACGATATAGAGGCCGGCTTATATATATGACAGAAAGAAATGAATATATGAAAGAGTTTAATGCAATTTGTATTGTACGTACATACATATGTATGTGTCTTAACTATAATTATAAAAATGTCAATAATTTCACGATGTAATTTTTTAACAATTTACTTTAAAATTTTTTAAATTTCCGTAAATTATATTTGCAAAACTATCGCACAGTGTGTAATTTGAATATGCAATCTCAATATAGAGAATAAATTTCTTAAGTATTAAACCTGGGTAATTTATCAGATGTAATTATTCGCTTCGAAGCGTAACGCGAAGTGGTTTTCGCGCTCATTAACGACGTTAATCGGCATCTCTTTGACGTTGTGTGCTTCGGTGGCACGGCGGCCGATTTGCAGGCACCCATTTCGGTAGGTAAAACCAAGAGATTTCCTACCATGTGTGTACAAGTCGTTCCGGCGTTACTAATGTATCCGCTGAGTACACTGTTAATATTTAAGCGCGTGCACGGGGTCTGTAACCAGCATCCACCGTTCCGCTTCTCCGCCTCTTCTCTCCTTCGACTTGCCGAAACCCTTGAAGTTTCCTACTGTTGACAGACGCTGTCTCGTCACGGCAGGTGGCTCGAGGCGCGCAAACTATATCCGACGGCGGTTCAGGATATTTCGATACATTCGCGATTAATTAATGACGCCACCAGGTACCCGTATTGCCTCGAGTCGAACACTGAGCAACGTTGCGGCACGGTTGTTAACCGTGAATTAACCTTACGGTCGCATTGCGGTGCTTTGAATCCAACGACTCAGCGCAGAAACTGCTGTGCAAATTGCACCGACAAACATATACGTGTGTTTACACACACGTTGTAGTGTATTATTTGAAATATTAAATAAATTTTCGTTTACGCGTATATTGATATGCATTTTTATAATACTCTTAATGAAAACATTTTTTTTTAGCAGCGACAGATCATGTGTGATTTCTCAATTTTATTTGAGATGTTATAATTATTTTAGCGTTATTATAGTGTAAAAGACATTACAAAGGAATTGATTAAATATATATAAACGATATTTTATGTTTATGAATCAATATAGGTCTCGTAGAAAGGATTTTACGTTCTGTGAAGAGATTCTTGAGCCACCGTGGTTAGCACTCTTAAAACACTCAAGCTTTGAGAGTAAGTCTCGTAATTGTCTATATCTTAAAATTAAATACGCTTTAGTCTTTTAGAAAAAATATACTTTTGTAAGCTTACAGTGTAAGTGCAATATTTATTTTAATATGCGATATATTATCTGATATATTATCTCTGTATCATGTGTTTAAAATATTTAATATACATACTTGTACATATTGTTTAATTAGATTACAATATCATCTGTATAATATGTATAGCAATCCACTTATTGCGAGATTAATATCTTATATATTCTCTTTATTTTTATTTATTTATTATTTATTTATTTTTTATTATGTTTTATTACTTTCAGAACTGTCATCTTCTTTAATAATTGTCATCTGGATTAAGACAAGTTATCAAAATAAAATATATATTTCCAATTAGCATTCCATATCGAGAAATTAACCATTTTTTTTGTAGTTCCCGATTTCCTGCTACCTGTTAAATGTAAAGAACACAATGTTAAAATTTACTCTTCTTATTTCTAAAATTATATATAAACTTCAACAATTTCTTAAAAACATTAATTTTAAATTATTTAAACACATTTGTAGACAAACAGTATGTATGTGTGTATCATTTTACTCATAACTTTTAAAACTACTAAACACAGAACGGTGTACGGTATTGAGAACGCATTGTCTGTGAGTGTACGATATGTACTATCTACTAATATGCTTCTGATTAGTACACGTTACACCTGTGCTATTGTATGCATACATAATATTTAATACGTGTACGGTTCCGTGTGTCTCCAACAATAGGACTCAGCAAACAGCTTTTCACGCTAGTTTCCTCTCAGTCAAACGTATTAAGCGCACGCGCGTAAATTTCGTGTACACCCGATTGTTCGCGTGTTAACACATGGCATATGCAACGTGAGGACAGGACCAGAATGTATGCATATAAATGCGCCGCTGACAGTCAGTTGCAGTCCGTTCTATGTAACGTTAGTATATATGTCGGAAGTCATAACGCCATAATTATGTAGCAGTCGAAAAAGTAAATTGTGCACGCGTGATTTGTTCTAAAAAATCTATAATCTTTAAAAAATTATATTTTTCTGATTGCAATTATATTTCCAAGAAAATACGTATATTTGATTTTGTTCAATGTTCGCTAATAATTGTTGAAATAAAATTTTACCTTTGCATCATTACAAATACCAGAATAAGTTTTTGATACATTTCTGGCATTGCAATCAACTCCTTCAACCCATACATGTGGTATTCCAGAACAAGAAATGAGGTTCTCACAGTCACTTGTTGTAATATGAATTGTGTACATTGGTTGTCCTGGCTAAAAAAATAATTTAATTCAAAATCCATATATCTGCAATTTAAATACAGCGTATTTACTATACGCAAAATTATTAATTACACGCGCTGTCTCTGTCTCTTTCTTTTTTTTTTCTCTACCTCAAAGTATGAAATTTATGTTAATTATATCTCAAATTTATATATGCATATTATAAAATTATGATACCTTGTTATATGTAATACTAGAATTAAGATATGTGGTTCTATTATTCCATTGTAGTGTTGTATTTGTTAACACCCACTCATTTGATTTGCAGTTTTTTTTTAAATTCGTGTCACTCTAAAAAAAAAGTTAGTGACTTTATGAGTAAAAATCAGTAACGTTACCGACATAAATGTTTATTGCGTGAATTAAATAGAGAATTAAGTATAAAGCAGTAATTCAAGAAAGCCTTGAAGAAAAAATATACGACAAAAGTAAAACGTAGATAAATATATAATTACTTTAAAACAAGATTTGTGACGTATATTTACAGTGCTTTTCCTGTTACAAAAACCTTTGTTTTCAAACAATTTACATATTTAATATTTATAAGTATGTATTTCTACATTAGAATAATACTAAAGAATATATATATATGTAGCATACAAAACAGAAATGTATATATACGAGTGCACAATATTTAAAATTTCAAGGTTTTAGATATTTTAATGTTTATATTAAAATGTTTAACTACATTTATCTTTTATCTTGCATGAACTTAGACTTTAGCATGCTAGTAAAACGTTCAGAAAGTTAAAATAGACTAGAGCATAATACAGTACACATTCTTACTAGGTTTCTATAAGCAAATCCTTTCTCTTTCTTTGCAATTTAATAGTTATTTTATATAATTTATTTTTATTACACAAATAAAAAATATTTGTAGCAAAGTTTGAAGAATTTTACTGATTTACAAGATTCTTTATGTTATTTTTGCAATAAAAAAAGTACAAACATGAATATACAAAAATCTTGAATTAAAATATTGCAAAGTAACTTGGTGTTTTTCTTACCAATTGTCCTTTCATTTGATCGGTTCCTGGTACGATATCTTCAGACATCCTTGTTTCTGCTATTTCTATGATTTGTGCCAATGTCCATGTCCACGTCAATGACATAATTAACCAAGGAAGTGCTAGTATCACCCAGGACTTCATTTTAAAGTAAAATCTGAATTATTACAGTATGACGTATCACAATATAAGTTCGTCACTGAAGAGATCTGTAAAAAAAACTTTATTTAAAAAACTGACTGCATAACTTACTTTGTATAGAGACATAGATTATGTAACTTTTACAACAAAATGAGAGCTTATCATTTTGTTTATTTTCTTTTAGATCAAAACCATGTATGTCTATCTTGCAGTATATAGATAAAAAAATTACTTATAAACACGCAAAATGATAACACTTTACCTATCGTATGTGTCCACGCGAAAAGCGCAAAAAACCTACTACATAGTCAACCACCTGTGTATGTAACTAAAGTATTGCAACTGCAGTGCGCTTATATAACTTGCAGACAAATGGAAAAACATTTACTGTGACTAATACTGATATCAACATGTATTGTAATTTTGTAATGAATAAAAGAAATCGTTCTTCGTGGATGACCTAACGCATTTAACAAAATGTAAAGCGTTTGCTTTCTTTTATTTTTTAACAAGTTTTACGAATATATGAGTTGACAAATAATAATTTTAAATCAAATTGATGTATTCCCTTTCTTCTTTTCTATTTTGTACGTTAACGCACGTTATATTATTTAAATGTATATATCTGCAAGTGATATAAAAAGACATATACATGTATGCGCACGCGTGTGTATGTACGCGTATGTATTTGCTTATTCGCGTATATGGCGTGCCAATTTGTGTAGTTGATTTTCCAAGTCAACGAACAATCAAGAGACTAAGCCGCGCTGTTCCCAAGCGAAGATTGCTTTTTTATTCTATTTCGCGGCGGATTATTTTTTTCTCGCCGATTAACGAGCTCGCTCGATGTAAATTAATCCAATATGAGATGTGGGAACATACGCGACCACGGCTAGATTGAATCCCGCGCGCGCGCAGGCATCATGTGATGACGACCGTATGTCGTGTATTGGAAAAAAATAGCTCGTGTCCGCAAATGCGAGTTAGCTGTCTCATAACTCATTCCGAAAAATCTACGCTGATCGTTTATTCGTGTTAGTCGCGTTAGTACGATTTGTCGATCGTTCATACGTGTAAATCAATCGATTAAGAAGAGATATGTGGTTTGTCGAAATACGTTTTACGAGCCTCGTTATATGGCGCAGCACACACGAAGTGTAAAAAACGCAGCGCTTGATTTATAAAATATTCAGATCGAAGTATCTTGAAAGGTAGTCAATGGTTCGCTTGAATAGTTGTTTAAGCAATGTGTAAAATATTGCCTGCAAAATAACAATAATTAATTACGTTCTCTATTTCGTGCGAGATTTCTCGCAGACATAATTACGACTATCTAACACTAAATGTCGAAACTTTTAAAAGCGATGAGAACAAGTAAACTTTTTTGTACTAATAAGTACATGTATATTAAATTACAAGGAAAGTATCTAATATATTTCATATTTTTTATATATTATTACAATTCACGCAAAAAACAATATCAATTCATAAAATATATAATATTTTATCACAATATCGAAACTTAATTAAGCGCCGAAAGCGCATATGTACATAGGCTTATTGTTTCTCATTGATGTTCGTGAAAATAAATAGAGTTTGTGCGAAAGTTAATTAATTTTATCACGGTGTGTTTTATAATCATAAATTAAGTGAAGTTTAGGGCGAATTTATATGAATCGCAGTGCAGTGAACAATAGCACGCACTCAATACTTCGTGATAACAGAAGCAATCAGTATAATTGCGTATAAAATACAAGAGTACCCGGCCACGTTAGACGTTAGATCATTCACATTTTCGGGTCAGGAGTTTACAAGCGAACCAGTAATTATGAGATGAAAGCATCCCTCAATCTATCCCAGAATAACCTCTTCTACGGTGGAGACCCTAAAGGGCTCTACTTCTCTCTCATCGTCTTCTCCCGTCCAATTACTCATCACACGAAAATGTTGTGGGCTTACCTTCGATCAATTAATTTTGTCGGCCTTTCAGTGCCGGCAAACATTTTCTCTACTATTCGCCCGTGTTTCTACAACATTATGGCGAAAATTAGCAATATAACGTCTTGAGCGCATATACGTAAACTAGCCAAAGTAGGACGTCGGAGGTGAGGTGGCTTAATTTGATTACATATTTCGCTGCAACTATGGAGTAATTCGAGAGCAGCACAGTCGAGCTAATGCTTACTTAAGGGAGAAATGATGTCAAAACCGTGCACAAGGGGAGATATAAGCGAGCGCAATCCTTTTTCATTTATCTTCTAAACTCGAGATCTACACAGTTAATTAGAGCTGACGCGAAGAAAAAGCGTCTTGCTTAATCAAGCGGAGTATTCTTTCTTACGGAAAATCCCTCAGCTCGTCGATTCAGTTTCCGACCAACAACAGTCAATGTTTGCTCAATATTTCTCGTCATAGCTTATATATTTGCTTTTCATAAAAATATAAAGAAATCCTTCATCTCTTCGTTGACAAATTCTTGATTTAATACAAATAAAAGAGTTTTTATTGTTTATATAAAAAAAACTAAAATAAAAACATAGTTTTTTTGTTTTGTTTTATCTTTTTGTTTTTATTTTTTCCCAAAGTTTTCTTATAAACAATGAGCGGGCACTTGTTAATGACGTTACTCAGTTTGCACGTACTTTTTTGGATACTTTTTCTTCTTCGGCTATGACTGGCGCATGGTTCTTCGAAACAAGAGTTTGAGAGTCGGAAAGGTCGGGTATGAGTTTTGTTCAGGGTAAGGGACATCAATATCGCTGCCGCGCCGCACCAAGTATTCAGAATGCCCTTCAAGAATTTTAATGCGACGGAGAAAGAATTTATTGCGACATAGAATGCGCAGTAATGGCGGAAATACGTATAAAAGTCGGGAAAAGGGTGCGCATTGTCGCCGTCTAATGGCCTGCCTCGGGCGTCGCACAGTGGCGACGTGTACACGCACCACCCACGCAGGACCGTCTTTCCGGAGGGGTTAGTGTGTGCAGAGAGGCCTTTGCACTAGCGCAGAATTTTAAAACAACCTCGGGCAGATTTCAAGAAGGCCAGAAATAATCGGGACGGACTTTTCGCGCGAGATTACGTCTCTCGTTTATTCCTTAAATACCTTTCACTCATATAAGATTGAAATTTATCAATGTAAAAACTGAAGAATGAGAGTGTTGTTATATAATTTACTTTTCTCGTATGGAAAATGTATAAAAATATTATATTTATTTCACAAACTCTAAATTTTAACAGACGTGTGTTTTAAATTTATATCTGTTGTTAAAGCTTTACAGAAAGGGACATATTATTTTAAATTAAAATATTAAAAAATATTAATGTATAAAAGAAAAAATAAATAAAAGTATGTTACTTTATATTACCGAAAAAAATAAAGTTTTCATATTTATTTGTAGCTTATTTGAAAAGAAGACAAGTTTTAATCAAACTTCATTATTCTTATTTGCGTTTCAGAGTTAGGTCATTTAATGTATCAAGATTGTTTAACTAATAATGATGTACACTACGCCCGAGCAACTAGTTGTGAAGCAGTAATGTAATGTAATAGTTTAATAATACAGCTGTACATAACCATATTAATATATCACGATTAAGGTAATACTATATTAATTATTCTATCATTAATCTAACAATAAGTTCCAACTAGCTGTATTACACGATCTGTTATGAGTACCGCAAACATTACATTATCGATGATATAATAATATTAATATTACAATCATAAGTTACAATTACGACTATGTAATTCCAGATAATAACAGAGAAAGTTGTACGTAACATATCATTACAGATCTAATAAATGTGATTTTTTTAATGGCGTGAAATAAAATGTTATTATAGCATATTATAACAAACTATGGTCAATGCAACAAATTACACAGTTGGAAAAAGTTATTAAGTTTCCCAAAAATACTATGTAGTTTTTTTAAAAGACAGTTTCTTCGTTTAGAAATAAAATGTAAATAAATCTGCAAAGGTTTTTGTTTTTTTTATAATAAAAAAATATTGTTTACAGATATAATTTTTTGTAGAGTGGCGATTCCGGTTTCTTATCATCTCATTTTTTCATTGAATCGGAATGATTAAACTTTCACCATGCTTCTGCACATAATTAGTAATACAAAAAAAACTTGAACATGTACTTTTGTTCGCGATAAACTCCTTCTTAATTAACGGAAATGAGAGCGGCGTGTGTACATTCTTTGCCTTGTTGGTTTTCTCTCTGTCTCTCTGTTGAAAGGTGTACTTTTAAATAATCACAAGCAGTAGATATTCATGGCGTGCTCTTTTTGCGCTGTCTATGTTTGCGGAAAGAAGTCTCGAAAACAAGTCTTCACCAACTATGTGTAGACAATGCGCAAAGAAAATATAGATTTTTTTTAATTAAAAAGTTTCTTACCAGTAGACCAACAATGTACGTAAATATATTATTTTAGAATGCAGAGTGAATGCAATTATGTAAAGTATGAAATAATAATATATTCATATATATTATAGTAATTAAAAACTCTAATATAAATATTTAAAAAGAAATTATATAATGCTATAAATATTTATCTCTCTATTATTTATCTCTCTATAAGTGTAGTATAAACATATCTCTGAAGGAAGAAGGAACAATGTTATTTAAAGAGTACATTTATTCGTAAATAAATTTAAATGTTGATTGACACGTCAATGTAACGTTCGCAGTAGTGTAATTTATTGGGGCCATCGACATTTACAACAACACATATGTCAATCATACGTCATCTATACATTGATTGTCAGACCGCCAATAACAATAAAAACGTAAACAAAACTTTTACTGTAACGCTTATGTACTTTTATATTTTATGTTCACAGTTATGTGACAAAAATCCATCAAACCCAAAATTAGAACAAAATTGTTAAATTATTAAAGAAACCTAATAAAAAACAATATATAATTGATTTGATAAATAATTCCCCATTCTAGAATCTTATTCTCACTTGAAGTTTTTTTATCATATTAATGGCTTCTGTTAAAAGAAAAGTTTTTAAATCATAAATGCAACGTATTTGAAACAAACTTTTTAATGGC